CTTGTGGACAAACCCGGGGATGCTGTACTTTTGTCCCCTGGGCTATGTGTTTTTTTTTTTTGTTATCCAACGTGTTTTCTGCAACCTTCAATACGTTTCTCTGAAACGGCGTCACCCGGGGGGTTAATATGGGTGAAAAATAGTTGCTTCAACATGTGGCACGGTTTTGACGGAAGTTGCTGCCGTACAAGCCAAAAAGGGGGCAAAAGTGCCCATGTTTGGACAGGCATATTACCATCCATAGGCATCCGTTTAACGTTATTTTTTTTTGTGACTCAGAACAGGATGCGTACTAGTCGTTGGTTCATCAAATTCAACGGTTGAGCTGGTTCAAGGCAACACAACCCGCACTACCCCCCCAAATGGGTATTTTTCGCCCCGCAGAATTGAGCCGAAAAACCGGGGATATGGGCATTGTGTCCCCGGTTGTGGGCCGATTTTTTTTTTTTAATCGAGCGCTCATGATACTAAGACTATGTGTGCCAAATTTGACGTCTTAGTACTTCAGAACCTTTGCAAATCGACCATCACCGGAACCTGCCCTTAACCCTTCTGTGGCTACCGTCACTTTTTTTTTATCATTTTTTTTATCACTCTGGCTCAATAGCCCGGTCTTCTCAAGGAGGGGATGATAAGGAAAATATCCCGAACCAAATGCAAGGGAGTTGTATAGCAGGCAGGACGCCTACAAAGACCTGCAGGTCTGCAGCGTAGCTTGTGCACACACCCCCACAAGCGCCGCGTTGGGGTATGCATGGCGAGTTATACAAGGCACGTTAGGGCCGCAGCCTGGCTGGGAGCAACTCTCTTCACCCTCGCTGCTCTCGCAAGCGCGATTCCTGGGCGCTCTGCACGCAAATTACACGACCTCGCGCTTCATCACCACCGCCAGCTTCTTCCGACCCACCAGCTGCTGTTGTTGCCGACCCAGCAAGCTAGCATGAGCTCCGACTACGAGGAAGAGGAAGGCGAAGACGAGGACGACAATACAAACGAAGTCTACAGGGCGCCCTATGCTGCGGACACACATAACACCGGCAGGACCACGCGGGGCTCTGCTCTCCATCAAGCACAGCAGCAGCAGCAGCAGCAGCAGCAAACATCACCAGCCGCACAGCAACAGCAGCCACCAGCAGCCCAGCAGCCGCAGCCGCAGCCGCAGCCGCAGCCGCAGCAGCCGCAGCAGCAGCCGTCTCCCGTTGGTGCGGATCCGAGCGTGTGTCGGGCTATCATCGAGTGCGGTCAAAACAAGGGAAAACGGTGTGGCAAAGCCGCTGGCGGACGCGTGCTGGGTCTGTGTGGTCATCACGACGGCACGAGGAAGCGGCTGAAGGCTGCTGGCACCACAGCAGCAGGCACCACAGCAGCAGCAGGACTGGAGGTGGGCGCTGGGGTAGATGACCAGGCCAACTTCGGCTCGGACGACGAATTGGGAGGCGGCGTTGACGAGTTGCAAACTGCGGGCGCGGACGCCCAACAGAGCAAGCTGCAACACTCACACTACCAGAGGGCGTCGGTAATAGAGGATCAAGGGCTCCGGGAAGCGTACGAGAGTGTTTGGCACCTGAAGAAGGCCACCTCCAAGAAGCGCAAGGTATGCATTGTGTGCATGCATGTATAGTACTACTGTTGTTATGCTGTTCAGAGCACGCTAGTTTTGCTGCTATGAATGTGAATGCCTCGAGGTCCGTTTGCAAATGTAGTACTTCGAGTAAAGGTTTGGCCGTACATAGTTGTGACGCAGTACAGCGCAGTAGCAAGAGTTGCGTGACATGCATGTATGTATGCGTACAGTCTGTCGGTGAATCTTATTTCCTCAAGAAAGAGGAAGCTGCTGTACTCAAGAATTTCGTTTCTCTCACAGCACCCACAGGTACATGTAACGTGGGCGATCTTTTCCTTCTTCGTCGTACCACTATAACAGCAGTGACGTGCTCTCAGCTCCCTCGGTTCTGCGCTAGCTATTCTGCGCACACCGGCCATGACGCCAAGGGTGTCCGGCTGACATTGTTTCGGCTGAATATGTTTCTCACTTGTTCAATCGTGCTGGCCCCGGGCCCCTGCAATGTTTCGTCGCCCCTTCCCTCTCTCTCCTTCTCCTAGGCTGGGGACGCGCCGCCCCAACCCGCCCCGCACGATGAGAGGGGCTGGACGTCGGCCGGCATGAAGAAGGATGTTGAGTCCGAGGCGTACAAGAGGAGACACAAGCACACGGGCGGCGACAAGTTTCAGCTAGCTCCGTCCCTCATCGCTCGACTCCCGAAGCATAACCGCACCGGCCTCAACGTGTTGCGGAACTTGATCGATGGAAAGACAAGTCGCTCCCGTTCAAGTTTTTCGAAGAGGCGTTTCCCCCGACATGCCAAGACAGCATCCTGACGGAGGCGCGTACTACCGAAAGAGGTGTAGCAGTACTCGTCAAAATATTCAGCTATTGAATATGGCGGATCACGTTGCTTTTGTTTCAGAGACTGATCCCCGCTGACACGGACAGAAATTGTATCGACGATGTGTTCTGTTTTTGTATATTTTTCTAAGGCGGGACACTCGCGGAGGGCAATGTCAGGCTTTTCTGTTTCTTGTATTTTTTCGAGGGTTAGGTTGACGCCAACACCACCCCGCCCCCCTCCTCCTCCCGAACAACTGCTATTTCCCTTTTCAGTTACATATTGTAATGTTGTGTTCGCTTCTGATGTATATTGTTCTCGGTCTTGTTCGGAGTGTTCAATGTTGAGTGTGTACAATGACGTTGATGGCGGGGAACGTTTTCGTGTTTCTTGTTTGCGTTTTTTCTTTCATCTTTTCGTTGCCTGTGAATACCATCATGGAATCAGCACGGACGGTAAATTTAAGAAGGAACGAATGAGAAATCGGAAAGGTTATATCGCGGTAACCACACAACAGTGACAGCAGTGTTACTCTGTATGGCTGTGACCACGGGCTCGAGAGATCAGGCTTAGATTTTTGCGGGAAAACAAATGGCGGACTACCCTTGACGTCGTTCTTCCTGCTGACTACTTGCACACCGATCGCAACTGTTGCTGGATGCTCAATTGCTCGCCGCCACGCCCCTGCCTCTTGTGCGTGATTACTTCCAGACCAACAAGTACGTCAACTTCTGTGCCGACGAGACCAACCCTTCCCCGCTTCAGCAGCCCCGGCATCGAAAGAAGAAGACCAGGACGGGGTTGTCGTACGTGCCTTCGGAGGACCGTCCTGACGGATCCAAAGTCTCACCGGAAGCACCTGAACGGAGTGATGGGCATCCTTATCTCTGCGGGGATCACCCAGAAGCGTAGGCTGACGGACCACTTGGGAGTAGGGGACCACGACAACTACCCTCTTGTCCGAAAGTGCATGCCTCGCGACCTCTTCACGCTCTTCTACTGCCGGTACTTCCACATGGCTCCAGTCATCGAGGCTCTCTCCAAGAAGCATCCAGAGTACGATTCCAAGCATCACATCAGGTAAACGTGTTGTCCTGTGGCATGTTTTGTACGCCTCCGTGCAAGGGAGGGTGGCGAGGGCTCGGTCGGCAACCCTCCGGCGTTGTAGGCGGGCGGGGGAAGCCCGTAGTCTTAAAGGCTTGCCGTAGTTTCTTCTCCTTGGTTTTTCAACATGTTTCTTCGTCCGAAGTGGTTGATTCAGCGCCAGCGATATGCAAGACCCCATCGGGGGGCGGTTTGGTGTCGCAGGGCGCGTCCGTATCATATTGTGTGAGTAGATTGTTTATGGCCTTGAGTGTACGCAGCTTTTGTAACCACAGGCAGGCTCCCATGGATGGTTCGAGAAAGAAAAGCAAACGCAACGCACATCTTGCCTTATCCCAGGGGCTTCGTCACGTTCACATGCGTTCTACGTTCGTTGCCTCTCCCGTTTTGTTATCGTCCATCACGTCCTGCAGAGCACTCGAAGACGCACTGAACACATGCTGGAGCTCTCTGGTGGAGCTTGGAGGGTGGGTGTCGTATGACGAGCAGATGGTGAAGAGCACGGCGAGAGCTATGCACGGGCTGATGAGATTCAACCCTCAGAAGCCCATCAAACACGGTAAGTTGAANAAAGCAAACGCAACGCACATCTTGCCTTATCCCAGGGGCTTCGTCACGTTCACATGCGTTCTACGTTCGTTGCCTCTCCCGTTTTGTTATCGTCCATCACGTCCTGCAGAGCACTCGAAGACGCACTGAACACATGCTGGAGCTCTCTGGTGGAGCTTGGAGGGTGGGTGTCGTATGACGAGCAGATGGTGAAGAGCACGGCGAGAGCTATGCACGGGCTGATGAGATTCAACCCTCAGAAGCCCATCAAACACGGTAAGTTGAAGTGTCTCTACGATGAGTCTAGGAGAGGCCACCGCTCCCCGCTCCGAATCAAACACACGTTCG